AGCCCACCCGCCTGGGAGCACGCGGTTGGCCATCGGGGGGCCCATCGCCAGCCTGTCGGCGGCGCACCGCCGATGCTCGGCCGATGTTTCCCACCCGGGGCCAGTGCCCCCCCCCTCTCGTTGCCCCATTCAGCGTGTCAGGGGCAACGACAGCGGGGCACACGGATCGCTTCAGGCACACAGAGGCCCTCTTCGGGCGATCGTCGCGCCGTCCAAGAAGAAGCCCTCTGGCTCCTCCCTCCTCCCTGTTCGTCCGCCCTCCTCCCTCGCCATCCTCCTCGCTCGTCCTCCGTCTTTTCTCCCTCCCTCCTCCCTCCGCCTCGTCGCTCCTCCACATCCTCATCATCCTCATCATCACCAGCACCATCAGTATCTTCATCATCACCACCACTAACATTACCATTACCCCACAAGAGGGCTATGTACCCGAAGCCACACGACGAGAGAGGGTAGAGAGAGAGGTAGAGAGAGAGGTAGAGAGAGGAGAGGGGAGGGTAGCGGGTGGAGAAAGGGTAGAGAGAGGAAACAAAAAAATAGCATTACCATTACCGGCATCGTCAGCATCATCATCCTCATCATCCTCATCATCAGCATCATCAGCAGCATCAGCATCATCAGCAGCATCATCAACATAACCATCATCATCATCATCATCATCATCATCAGCATTATCAACAACAACAGCAACATCATAATAATCAGCAGCAGCGGCATCATCAGCAGCATCAGCATCATCAGCATCATCATCATCATCACCATCATCATCATCATCATCATCAGCATCATCATCATCATTGTCATCGTCATCGACACCAGCATCATCATAATCATCATCATCAGCATCGTTACCATCATCATCATCATAATCATCATCATCAACAGCATCATCATCGTCATCATCATCAGCATCATCATCGTCATCATCATCAGCATCGTCATCAGCATCCACGTCATCTTTCTCTCCATACATATAGTCACAATCATCAGATTAATCGTCTCCGTCATCATCATCATCATCATCATCATCATCAGTAGCATCATCAGCAGCATCAGCATCATCATCATCACCATCACCATCACCATCACCATCGTCGTCAGCCTCATCATCATAATCATCATCGTTGTCGGAATCGTCATCATCATCAACAACATCATATGTATCATCATCGTTGTCGTCATCATCATCATCGGAATTGTTATCAGCATCATCCTCATCATCATCACCTCCATGTTCATCAGCTTCATCAGCATAGTCAATATCATCGTCAGCATCACTTGCATCATCATCGGCAGCATCATCTTCATCATCATCGTCATCTTCATCGTCATCGTCATCATCATCGCCATAAACATCAACTTCATATTTTCTCCATCCTCATAAACACAATCATCATCATCATCATCATAACCAGCATCGGCATCGGCATCTTCATCATCATCACCATCATGATCATCATCGTTGTCGTCATCGTCACCATCAGCATTAGCATCAACAGCATAATCGTCTTCACCATCATCAGCATCACCATCCTCATCAGCATCATCATCATCAGCCGTATCCCTGCGTCTCATCCTCTCTCTATCCTCTTCCGAGAGGGAGGGGAGTGACTAGGGGTATGTGTATATCTATATATACATAGATATATAGATTTATACATATACACGTCAATACATAGGCACCCCCCCGGCCTGGTCCGGCCGACCCCGCAACCATCGGTGGAAGCCCGCTCATATCCCCCCGTTTCGCTCCCCAGAGGCGGCCCGGAGAGGCCAAGAGGGTGCCAAAACGAGCCAAGAGGGTTCCAAGAGGCCCCCAAGACGGAGCAAGAAGGTCCCGAGCTGCCCAGTACGGCCCAGGAGGACTCCCAGAGCACCCCCAAGAGGGACCCAAGAGGCCCAGATCATCAAATTCCAGTGGGGAAACGTATATTTTTAGCATGTACGACTTTTCAGCTTTCGCGGCTTTCAAGACGGTCCAAGAGGCTCCCAAGATTTCCCAAAGACAGCCCAAGACATTCCCAAGAGGCCCCCGAGCCAGCCCAAGAGGGCGCCAAGACGGCCCAACAGGGGCCGCCTAAGACGGCCAAGTTGGTCCCAAGACGGCCCAAGAAGGCCCCGAGTCGCCCAAGACGGCCCAAGATGGCCCCAAAGCGGTCCAAGAAGGCTTCGAGTCGTCCAAGACAGCCCAAGATGGCCCCAAAACGGTCCAAGAAGGCTCCGAGGCGTCCCAAAAGGCCTCCAAGAGCACTCCAAGAAGCCACAATCCTTGAATTCCTACGGGGAAGAGTATACTCTTATTATTCATATGCGACGTTTCGGCCTTCACGGCTTTGAAGACGGCCCAACAGGTTCCCAAGACTTGCCCAAGAGAGCCTCAGACACTCCAAAGAAGCCCTCAAGACAGCCCAAGAGGGGGACAAGTCGGCCCAAGGGCTGCCCAACACAGCCTAAGTTAGCCCCAAACGGGCCCCAAGAAGGCCCAAGAAGGCTCCGAGCCGCCCAAGACTGCCCAAGATAGCCCCAAGAAGGTCCAAGAAGGCTCCGAGACGTCCCAAGAGGGAGACCAAATTCGTTGCATGCCTGTAGGCGAAACGTTAATTTTAAGTATATACGGTTTTAGGGCCTTCACGGATTTGAAGACGATCCCAGAGGCCCCCAAGATTTCCCCTAGCGAACCGAAGACGCTCCCAAGAGATCCCCAACATAGCCCAAGAGGGCGCCAAGATGGCCCAAGGGCCGACTAAGACGGCTCCAGGAGGGGTCCAAGAGGGGAACTCCGACATAGGCATATACATATACATATACATATAACTATACATAAACGCATGAACATTCACATATACACAGTTCTGTACATATGCATATACGCACGCATATACATGTACATCGACACATGCACATACATATACGTATTCATACACTTCGACGGTATACACTACGCAGTACACATTATATGTATACCTATACACATAGAAATACACATACTTAAGCACATACATAGACCTATACAGCTATACATATACACATACACATGCATTCACATCTACATATACACATGCATAACCCATTATACGCATATGTTGTACATGATACCAGAGAAAACCCCAATCAGGGCTATAGGGCTAGGGGGCTATAGGGCTATGGAGCTATAGGGCTATAGAGCTATAGGGCTATAGAGTTGTAGGGTTATTGGGCTATTGGGCCATAGGGCTATACGGCTTTAGGGCTTAGGGCTATAGGGCTATAGGGCACCCCTGGGCACCCCCGGGCACGCCTGGGCACCCGGGCACCCGGGCACCCGGGCACCCCCGGGCACCCCCCGGGCATTCGGGCCCCGGGCACCCCCGGACACCCGGGGCGTGCAGCGAAAATCGGCGACAAAGCTAACCTAACCATATGAATCCGCTAGGACCCCTACAGAGGCAAGCTCTGATTGGGGAATACACACATAAGCTAAACATATACCTACACAGTTGTACGTACACAAACACATCTACGTATACACATACATATACACATGCATCTACCGACACATACACAGATATACGACCACGACGACGATTTATTTACCCATTCGTAGGTCATTGTGAGATGGCCTCAGGAGGTCTTGGAAGTCACTGGGGCCGTTGGCATAGTTCTTGGGTGCCCCAGAGGGATTGGTCACAAACTAGAGGTCTTCAAAGTTCGACCGTGAAGCCTAGCCAGAACCTAAGCGCGCGAAGCGCGCGCGTGGTTCTAGTATATATATATATAGATATATATATATATATATACATCTATATAGTTATCCCCCCGTTCTTTGTTTCCTCCTTCTCTCCCTTCTCTTCATCCTCTCTCCTCGTCCTCCTTGTCCTCGGGGATCTCCGCACCCCTCCTCTTCGGAGCAGCACCAGGCGAGGGAAGAGGGAAGGATAGGTTCGGCGCGTCCTCTGCCCCCGAGGCAGAGCATGGCACCTGTCCCCCCCGAGCGTTGCCCCTCACCTCTGTGGGTGGACAGAACCCCCACCCTGACATGTCGATTAGTGAATTGTTCGTTTCGGGTTCTCGAGAGGGCGCCGCGGCCGTCATCATTTTCCAGGCTTGCGCCCGCCAGGTTTGGGCCCGAGGTCGTTTTCACTAAACCACGTTTTACTGAAGGGGGTTCTGTCCATCCCCGAACCTTTCTTCACCTCGGCCGTCCTGTGGCGCCGCCCTGTCTTCCTGGACCCCGCGGGCCGGGGCCAGCCCGCTTCGGAGGTCGGCGGCCGTTCGCGAGGTCCTCCCCCAAAATGGCCGGGGCGCGACCGCGGGGGAATTGAGGAGGAGGAGGAGGAAAAGGGCAGAGGGACGGAATGAGGGAAGGACAGGGAGGGAAGCAGTAGAGATGGAGCGAGCAGGGATGGAGTTGCGAGTTGTGAGTGCCATGGACAGGGGACGTCCGAAAAAGGGAAAGGAAAAAGGGGGAGGGGCTTACGCCGACGGCGGGGGGGGGGGCGCGGGGGGGGCGGCCGTCCTCGCAGTATTGCAACAGCGAACTGCAGAACGACATTGCTCTTGCGGGCCATCTTGCTCAGATGGGTTGTTCGTGCCCCCCCCTGGGCAGCACCGGTCATGCCAAGATGAAAACGCCCCGTGGACAGTGCCGGAAGTACGCTTGCGGGCGTGCTCGAAACGAATTGTTGTGGACGTTTTGCAAGAATTGTGGCGAAGTTCCGTCTGATACCACAAAATTATTTGAAGTGATCGTGTTGGTCGCGATGTGGCGGTGTGGACTGCAGGCAGGGTCGGCCGTCAGATGCAGCAGCGGACTGAAGACAATCGGAGCGCTTGGGCCCCGGCTGATCAGGACAGGCCCAGAGCGACCCGTGACGGTTCAGACACGTCACATGTGCGCCAGGTCGGGTTCCAGTGCGTCGGTTCGTGTGGGGTACGCGGCAAGGGTATGGGTGGTTCCGAATTTTGTGGCACGTACACGTTGGACGAGGAGTCACCCGCACTCGAGCTGCCCCTGTCGTCCTTCCATGAGTTCGGCGGGCACGAAGCATTTGGACCATGTCAAGCAGTTGGAAGCGGTCACGCAGCTGCTGCAGTCGGTGCTGCGCAGCATGCTTGCGTCAGGCCAAGACGACGCTGGATCGCGTTGCTCGGACGGTCCATTCCGTGCAGGCGGAAACTCGCGCATCCAAACAGAAGAATGTTGAGACCCGGCCAGTACATCAGGGTCGCGAACCCAAGCTCAAGAGTGAGGTTAGCGAGTTGTCGCGACAGGCGGAGTCCTCGACCTAGATGGCACGGGCCTCTTCGGCTGCGACGGAGAAGATATCGAGGTCACAGACAATGACGGGCAGGAACTGACGCGGAGGAAGTGCGAAGTTCAGGCCACCAGCCGCAGAGTTGCCGTCGATGTGCTTGGGGAGGCGAAGAACAAAGCTGAACAGTTCATCGAGCGGCAGAGCGGCCACGATTGGTCGAGGTACCGGGCGGAGAAGCTCGAGCGGCGCATTCGGGGGCTGCGGCTGCGGGCGGGGCTCCTCAGTGGGCGGGCTGCGGCCACGGCGCCAGCGGGCCCCAAAGGCGGCAGAGAATCAGGAGGGAAAGAAACACGCAGACACAATTAATCGTCGATTCCCCAGAAAATATAGGAAAATATGGGAAGTGGGGGGAAAGCAGAAATCCAGAAAATATCGGAAGATGTGGGGAATCTGTTTATTTTGTGTGTATTTATGTGTGTGTCCCAGGGCCCCTTCAGAGAACGCGCCAGCGGGCGGGAGTGCAGCGGCCTCGCCCGCCCGCGACGTCGCGGCGGCCGATCTCGAGCACGAGTAGACTTCGACGAGCCGCCCGCCAGGGCGCCGTCGGCGGCCGGCGCCCCGGCGGCGCAGACCGAGCCCGCCGCGCGGCGTTTGTTGGTGGAGTGGCTGCCATCTGGACGGCCGACGCCGCGGCGTGGCGGTCGGCTCTCTTGCCTGGTCGGCCCCGGGCTTGGCATCGCTCGGACGTGTGCAGTTTCCTTCGGCGAGGACCATCGAGGAGCATCCTCGATCATCTGGCCCAAAAAATCACGCACGAACTCAAAAAAAGCACAGGGAATGGACGTCCGAGCGATGGCCAGGTCGGCCCCGAGGTTTGCGCCGAGAGATCCGCCGACGCTGGAAGTGGCGCCGCGAAAGATAGGCGCGCGGCCTGGCCCTCGGCGGCAGAAAGGGAAACGGGCTTTCGATGTCATGGTTCGATTTTAAGAAACGGGCCCTGTCCGCGCGACTGCTCTTGCAGCATGAGAGAGTGGAGTGGGCATCGGAGTAGCGCAGCATTTAGAGGGGTTGCGCCGGCCATCTCCTTCCCCGGCCTCTCCAGAGCCCCCGTCGAGTCATGGCCCAGGGGAGGTGGTGCGACAGACAATCCGAGAGCGAGCGGCAGGGGCGGGGCGCGCTGCATCTCGCGGCCTCTCGATGGCCAACAGTTTCCTGGACCTCGCAATGCTCGAGAGAAGGCTTCGCATGCCCAACCCATTGCAGCCGCGGGTTGCTCGAAGAACTACCCCGCGTCCCCTTTTTCGCCCGAGCCTGCGCGCGCGGGGGGGCTCCGCGGCGTTTGTTCCTTGAGCGCCCGTCCCCCAGATGCGCGGCGAGTCAAAGACTCCCATCTTCGCTGGCTGCTGCGATGCCACCTTTAAGTCGGGCGCGTCCCCCTACAGGGGGATTTTCGCCGAAAGTTTTTTTTAAAAAAAAAAAAAAAAAAAAAAAAAACTCAAAAATAGTCCAAAAATAGTCTGGGGACTACTCTTTGAATATTTGTTTTGACCATTTGGGGCCATGTTTTGAGTTTTTTTCTTCGCCCAAAATCCCCCTGTATAGGGGGACACGCCCGACTTAATGCCACCCCGCACCTGCGCCTCCGTCCAGGTCCAGGGGAGGGGGTAGGGGGAGGGGTAGACCCCTCCCCGAAGGGGAAGAAGGGGGTTGACAGAGGAAACTCTCTGGACCACCGTCGCCCAGAGGGCTGGTGGGGCTCCCAGCTTCGCTGGCCGCCGCGACGCCACCTCGCGCCTGCGCCTCTCGATCCTCGAGGCGCGGGGCGGTGCGCCCCCGCCGCCCCCTGCCGCCCACCGCGAGAGTGTGCGGCGCGGTGGGCGGCGTCGCCGCGCGGGCATGCGGAGATGCCCCAAGTCGCAGGGTAAGATCACCTCGGGCCGGACGAAAGGGGGGGATTTGGAAAGGGGGGGGTGCGAAATCTGCTGCATAACGTGATCTTACCCTAGGGGATCAAAAAGTGTCAGAAACATAAAAACTCGGAGGTCCGCGCGGATTTCTCGGATCGGCGCTGGACTCCCCTCCCTGGCGCGCGGAGCGCGCCAGGGGCGGCGCCGGAGGCGCCGCCGGGGGGCCACAGCGCCGATCCGAGAAATCCGCGCGGACCTCCGAGTTTGTCTGTCTATGTCACTTTTTGATCCCCTAGGGTAAGATCACGTCTGCGCCATAGGGATTTGGCGAAGCAGGTCTCGGGGATCGTCGAGACTCCCTGGCAGTTGTGCACGAGGGTTTCCCAGCTCTCCCAGGCCCCCGCGCGGCCGCGCGCACGCCTCCTCCCATGAAATTGTCCGCCGGCCCACTTGGGCCCATTTGGGGCGCGCCTTCTCTGGGGTGTTCAGTGTAACTGAGGTTCCCGGCGGAGCCGCTTCTCTTCTCGGAGAGCTTTTTGTGCCTGTCGCGGAAGCCGCGCTGCGTCCCTGATTGCGCCAGTCTGCGCGTCCTGTAAGATGTGATCGTTGGTTTGCGCCCATTGAGATGCGTCGCAACATTCAGGAGGGAAAAAACACACAAACACAATGAATCGTCGATTCCGTAAAAATGGGAAAATCTGCCAAGTGACGAAAACACAGAAAATGTAAGAAAATAGAGAAAATCCTTTCATTTTTGTGTATTTCTTTGTGTGTCCCAGCGCCCCCTCAAACATGTGCGTGGAAACGCGTGCCTCGTAAATTGTGCCCCTTGCACGTCGTGCCTGGTTGAAACCACAACCGTCGCGGGCGCGGCGCCGTCATCGCGTCCGGAAACGCACGTCGAGCTCCTGCGACTGCCGCGCCGAGCTGTCGTGGTCGCGTTGCCAGGTTTGAGCGCTCGCTTCCGCCGCGGGATTCAGAGAGACTCCAGCCGAGCGCGCGACCCCGACGTGGTCCGCGGCGCAAGGGCTGTCCAGCACGCCCTCTTGGGCGCCCGTCTCGCACTTGGTCTGCGAGCGGCTTTCGTGCCCGAGTGGATTCCACGAAGACTGACCACGCAATCTGTTCAGTGAGCTGCCAAGGGGATGTGGCTTCAGAGTCGCAAGTTCCACCGGCAATGAGGGGCCACTAGTTTCAGGAGGGGAAAAAACACAGAGACACAATTAATCGTCGATTCTCGAGAAAATATGGGAGAATATGATGGGGATTATTTTTTGTTGTGTGTATCTATTTGTGTGTTTCAGGGCCTCTTCATACTTTCCGTCGCGCTCAACGCCCGAAGCGGAGATCCCGCCTCGCGCCAGAAATTGCGAGGTGATTTTTTCGCTCAATGCAGCGCAGGTAGACGGCTTGCTGACATTCGACGACGGCGCGCCCACGGACGCGGGCGCGCCCAGAACTGTTCAAAGTCGCAGGCCGCGGGGCAGACCATGCTCGCCAGGCTTAAGTCGGTCCTGTCCCCCTACAGGGGGATTTTCGACGATAGATAAAAGATACCCAAAATAAGAAAAAAGTAGTCCAAAAATAGTCTGGGGACTATTTTGGAGGTATCTCTTAACCTTTTTGGGGTATTTTTGGGTGTATTTTTTATTTTTCGTCGAAAGTCCCCCTGTAGGGGGACAGGCCCGACATAACGCCAGGGCCGGGGCTGTTCCCGAAAGCCCCAGCGGACTTGCAGCGCCCTGCATGGGCGCGGCGGGGCAGGGGATCTGCGCCTCTTCGGGTCGCCGAGAGGCTGCCGGGGACGGTTCGGTCTTGGCTGCCCCCCTCCCCGGAGTCCGACCCCCTGCTCTGTCGGCAACGCCAGTCTTACGTCGGGCCTGTCCCCCTACAGGGGGATTTTCGACGAAAAATGAAAAATACCCCCAAAATGCCGCAAAAAGGTAAAACATACGCGAAAAATTGTCCCCAGGCTATTTTTGGAGTATGTTTTGATCATTGTTGGGGTATTTTTTTATTTTTCGTCGACAATCCCCCTGTAGGGGGACAGGCCCGCCGGTTAAGTCTTGGCTGCCCCCTCCCCGGAGGCCGACCCCCTGCTCTGTCGGCAACGCCAGGCCCGTCGCGGCCCGGGGGCAAACGTTCTGGGGGGTGGGCCCCGAAGGCGCAGACAAGCGAGGCCTTGGTTGAGTCGGCGGTCGGGCGATGCCGCGCCGTGAACTGCGGTCGAAGGCCCCGCCGGGGCCACGGTCGTGATTTTGCGCGGGCTTGGATGAGTTCCCTGGAGTTTCTGCTTCTAGGCCCCGCCCACATTTGACGTGGGCTGCGCGCGGCACCATTCCCTGGGCCAGGTCGTCAAGCTCGGGGCCTAGGATGCGCTGCTCCAGAAACCCAGACCCCCGACGTCGTGATTTTTTCACAACGTCGACCCCCAGCGGTCTGGACCCTTTCCCCGGGACCGGCTTTTCATGTTGAGTCGTTTTTTGATGGTCCCGAGGCCCGGGAAGGGCCGCCGGAGGCCGAGAATTGCGAAAAAAATCCCGTCGTGATTTTTTCACAGCGCGATGGGGTCTGGGAAATGAGCCAGGAGTGCTAGGGCCCCACCCGCGTTGCGCCATAGCTCGGCGCGGTCGCGTCGGCCCGTACCGATATTGCGTTAGAATTTTAGGATTAAGTCGGACCTGTCCCCCTACAGGGGGAATATTCAAAAATAGTAAAATATTGTCTGGGGACTGTTTTTTTTGAAAACCATATTTGAATATATGTTGCGCGTTGTTTGCCTATTTTTCATTTTTCGTCAAGAGTCCCCCTGCAGGGGGACATGCCCGACCTAATTTTAGGAATCCAGGCAGGCTCGCACGCCGCGCGCATGGGCGCGCGATCCCGTCTCGCTCTGCCAGTGGCGTTTCGGCGCCAGAGGTTCCAGGCACCGCCTTGTCGTTTTTTTTGCGATGGCCGGGCCGCGTTTCGGAGGGGGCTGGACTTCTCGGCCTCGTGGGAGCGGCGCCGAGGGGAGATTCGGGCCACGATGCGTTCTCAGCGCGTTGCTGCTTCGATTGAGCCCCGAACCTGCGGCGCGCGCGACGGGCTGCGAGGCGCCGGTGAAGTCGGGGCCCAGGGGGGCCGATGCTGACGCGTCGAGCTTGCTGCGCGCCGAGCTTCCGTTGGGGGGACCTGCTTCCGCCGCCGAGGTCGCGGGGCCCAGCAAATGTCCTTTGTCGAAGTGCCAGCCCACGAGAGCTGGCCCACTGTTATGAACATGTGGGTTTGGTTCTGAGCCCGGAGGCTACCTCGGGTGCCGGGCGCGACGGCCAAATGCGTCGGCGGCCAAGCTCCGCGCTCCGAGTGGCTGCTGGGCGAGTGAACAGCAAGAGAAGGTGCAGAGGCTCAACTGGCGTTTTGCTACCGCCCTCGAGCGCGCGTGCAGACCTCTCCGCGATCTGCCCAACACGGCCGCCTGTCGGCCCAGGTCTACATCCTCGCCCCCGAGCCACATGGGCATGCCATGTTTTCTGCGCGGCAAGGGGCCCATAGGTGGGAGATGGCTGGACATGGGCTGGGACGTACTCCCAGGCCTCATATGGGTGCACGGGCTGGATCTGGATGGCAAGGCGGGCTCACCGCGATTAGGAGCTCTTGGGTGGAGATGGGAGTGCCGCCCTGCCGATCATCTGGTGATCGAGTTGTGGGGCGTTCGGAAGAACCGCATGCACTTGTCGGCCCACAGGTGCCGCAACCGCCCTCGGAACGATGCTGCTGCTCGGAGGTGGACAGACCTCCTACCCTAACACGTCGATTAATGAATTGGCCGTTTTCGGTTCGCGAGAGGGCGTCGCGGCCGTCATTTTTGCGGGTCCAGGTCCGTGGGTTTCGGTCCCAGGCCGTTTTCACCAAGGCGAGGTTTACTAAAGGGAGGTTTGTCCACCGCCGAGCTGCTGCAAAGCCGCTGGCCCTTGCGCAGGACGGCCGCGACCCGAGCGCCGGGTCCTTTTGTCCTCGGCTGCGGCAGCCAGCTGTGCGGCAGGCTGGCTTCCGTTCTGAGGCTTATGATGCTCCAACCTACTTTAGTCAGGAGGGAAAAAACACACAGACACATTAATCGTCGATTCCCCCGAAAATATGGGAAAATATGGGAAGTGGGGGGGAAGACAAAAACCCAGAAAATATTGGAAAATATGGAGAATAGTTTTATGTGTGTGTATTTATTAGTGAGTCCCAGGGCCCCTTCAAATAGCCTCGATCACCAGAAAGAGCTTCGAGCGCCAAAAAGAGCACCGAAACTCAAGGGCTTTCACGTGTCGGGCCCTCGAGGACACTCACCCGACACTGTTTCGACACTCTTTCGACACTCTTTTGACACTGTTCCGGGTGCTCGAAATCATTTCCGGGATGTGGTCCTCAAGTAGGATGGGAACAACATAATTTGAGGCACATTCCGGCCGTCCCTCCTTTGGAAGAGCAGGAGGGTTACGACGACGAGGGGGAGGAGGGCGAAGAAGAGGAGCGGTGGGGGAAGACGGAGGGAGCAGCAGCAGCACGAGGGAGCAGGACCTACGACCAGCACTGTGTTAGCGGGGCGCTGGCCATGTTGTGGCCGGCGCGTGTCTCCCGCTGCTCTCGCACGGTTCGCTGCCTCTCGCATCTTGTTAACGCGGCAGCAGGCAATCATTTGAAGTGGTTCCGAATCAATCCCACGGTTGGCGTTTGGTGATCGATCCTCCTTCTCCTCCTCCTCCGCCTCCGCCTCGGCCTCCTCCTCCTCCTCCTTCTCCTCCTCCTCCTCCCTTCTTTTTTGTTTCCTCCTCCTTCGTTTTCCTCTTCCTCCTTTTCCTCCTCCGCCTCCTCCTCTTCCCTCTCGTCCCCCTTTTCCCCTCATCCTCATCCTTCTCCTCCTTCCTGTCCTCCTCCTCCTCCTGGTCCTATTCGTCCATTTCATAATATGTATTCTTCGTCTTATCCTCCTCCTCCTCTTTCTCCTATTTCTTCTCCTCCTCCTCCTCCTCCTCCTCCTCCTCCTCCTCCTCCTCTTCCCTCTTCTCCCCCTTCCTTTCCTCCTAATCCTTCTCCTCATTCCTCTCCTCCTGCTCTTCCTCCTCCTCCTTTTCCTTTTCGTCCATTTCTTCCGTCCTCCTCCTCTTCCTCCTCGTCTTCCTTGTCCTCATCTTCCTCCTCCTCCTCGTCCTTCTCCTCCTCCTCCTCCTCCTCATCCTTCTCCTCCTCCTCCTCCTCCTCCTCCTCCTCCTTGTCCCCGTCTGCCTCCTCCTTGTCCATCTCCTCATCCTTGTCCATCTCCTCCTCCTCCGCCCCCCCTCCTCCTGGTGGAGGAGGAGGAGGAAGAGGCGGAGCAGCGGCGGAGTCGGAGGCGGTGGCGAAGGCGGAGGAGGAGGAGGGGGAAAACCAGTGTAAATCCAAGAGTCATCAACAAAAAGTTGGAATAAACCCTTCCTCCAAGCCCCTTCTTCATAGGCTCCTACAACGGCCCATTTCCATTGAGGGAATTGCCTCGTTGGAAGACAACCGTTTGAAGATCCTGAAGCATGCCAAAACATTGTCCTCGGGATTTCAACCCACGGATCAACCTGATTGCTGCGTCTTGACGATCCGGAATCGTGCCACAACGCCATTATTGGGAATTTCAACACAGCGAATCAACACAACGGTTGCTGCCGCATAATCCCGAATCCTTCCAAAGCGCCATTTCTGGCACGTTGATCATGGGAGTCCGTGAAAATTTTACAAATCGTATGAACGAATGTGCGTGGTGCTTACGCGAGAGCCACAGTTTGAAAACGACCCGCCCTCCATCCGTGAAACTTTCTACATGTTTTAACGACTATGCGCGGCGCTACGGCGAGAGCCACACTTTGAAAACGGCCCGCCCTCGATCCGTGAAATTTCTTGCAGTTGTTACACGAATGGGCGCGGCGCTCGGGCGAGGGCCACATTCTGAAAACGGCCCGCCCTCAATCCGCGAAGCTCTTGCAAATGTTTAAAACGAATGTGCGCGGCGCTCAGGCGAGAGCTGCATTTTGAAAACGGTCCGCCCTCAATACGTGAAGCACTTGCAAATGTTTAAAACGAATGCACGCGGCGCTAAGGCGAGGAGAGCCACATGTTGAAAACGACCCGCCCTCCATTTGTGAAACTGTTGTCACTTTCGAAGCTTCACAGTCATGAATGGCGAGATCTCCGACGAAACGCCCGGCCCGCCCTAGCAACCGGCCTCGGGTTGCGACAGGGAGAAATGATTTATAAGGAAAAGGAATGGAGGAGGACGCGGAGGAGGAGGAGGAGGAGGAGGAGGAAGAGAAACGAGGAACGGGGTGGAGGAGGAGGAGGAGGAGGAGGAGGAGGAGGGGGAGGGAGGAGGAAGAGGAGGAGGAATAGGGGGAGGGGGAGGGGGAGGCCACAAGGCAGAGGGAGGCCGGGCGGCGGGACCTGCGGCTTGCGGGCCAGCCCCGCAATCCGCGGCGCAGCACTCGCCCCAGCTTGCCCTTCTCCTGCCCCTCCTCCTCCGCCTCCTCCTCCGCCCTCCCCTCCTCCACCTCCTCCTCCTCCTCCCCTCCCCCTTCCCCCCTCCCCCCCCCCTTCTCATCCCCCCTCATCCTCCTCCTCCTCCTCATCCTGCTCCACCTCCTCCTGCCTCTTCCTCATCCTGCTCCACCTCCTCCTCATCCTGCTCCCCTCATCCTCCTCCTCCTCCTCCTCCTCCTCCTCATCATCATCATCCCAACTTTTCCTCCTCCTCCTCACCTCCTTTCCTCACTCCTCCCCTCCTCCTCCTCCTCCTCCACAACCTCCTCCTCCTCCTCCTCCTCCTCCTCCTCCTCCTCCTCCTCCTCCTCCTCCTGGCAGCCGAGGGGGGCCAAATCGTACCGTCCTGTGGAGGGCCTGGGCTCCGAATGCGATATCGTTGTCACGTCCCGCCCTTCCAACACCCACGCAATCGATGGGAAAACTCCCATCCTCCAAACGGGCATCACTTGTCAGGCCCCAGATGTGTCCACCCAGGGGACGTCCAGAGGGCCCCCGGCCGCCGTTGAAGCCAGCTGTCCCCGCCGGCACACCAGTCAGCCCAACCAGCCCGACCAGCCCGGCGGCAAACCCGCCAGCCAGGCCAATCAGCCCAACCCGCCACCACGCCAAGCCGCTTTCCCCCGCCGTCTGCCCTCCGTCACCGCGGGCGCCCCGCGGAGCAGAGGCGCGGGGAACAGGGAGCGGAGCGGGGAACGGAGCGGGGGGCGGAGCGGGCGCTCGCAAGCCATGGCGCTCGGAGGCCGAGGAAGGAAGGGGGAGGACAGGGAAAGGAGGGGCAGGAGGAGGAGGAGGAGGTGGAGGGAGGAGCAAGAAGCAGGAGGGGGGAGGAGGAGGAGGCGGAGGAGGAGGAGGCGGATGAGGAGGAGGAGGAGGAAGACGAGGAGGAGGAGGACGGAAGAAATGGACGAAAAGGAAAAGGAGGAGGAGGAGCAGGAGGAGAAGAAGGATGAGAAGGATTAGGAGGAAAGGAAGGGGGAGGAGAGGGAAGAGGAGAGAGGAGGAGGAGGAGGAGAGGAGCAGGAGGAGGAGCAGGAGGGGCAGCAGCAGCAGCAGCAGGAGGAGGAGGAGGAGGAGGAGGAGGGGCAGCAGCAGCAGCAGGAGGAGGAGGAGGAGGAGGAGGGGCAGGAGGAGGAGGAGGAGGAGGAGCAGGAAGGGGCCAAGGAGGAGGATCCAGGGATCAGGAGTAGGAGAAGGGGCATGCGGAACACTACAAGGACGAGAAGGACGATAAGGAGGGACACATCATTACAAATAATATAGCAAGAGGAGGAAGCAGGCGGGACGAAGCAAGCAGGGAGGAGGATGGCGGAGGACGCGAGATGGAAAGTAGCAGACATCACAGCATCCCAGATATTCATGTTGATCCAAGTGGTTTCTGCCCCCGCGAGGGGCGTTACAGAGTATTTGCTTCTGTCTCCCTGGGCCCCTTCGCTTGCACAGGGGCGGGGTCCCGGTCCCGCGGTGTGGCCTGCTCGGTGCAATTCGACGTCGGACCGGCTCCGCTCCGCCTGTCCCGCCGCTTCCCTGGCATCGCTCGGACGCGTGTATTTTTTTTTCTCGGCGAGGACCCTTCAGGACCATCCTGGACCATCGAGCAACAAAAAACACGCACGAATAACCGACAAACGCACGGGAAGTGGACGTCCCAGCGACGGCAAGCTTCGAGGTCACGAGGCTGCCTTCATGCGTGGGGCACACGGGCAGCCCGTGGGGGCGTGAGGATAGCCTCGCTTCGCGCGCCGAGCACTCCAAGGGGGCGGCGCGAGGGCGCGGTGGTGCGAAGCGGATCGCGCGCCGCGCCTCGCGGGGCGCGGGGCGCAACGTTGGGTGACCCAACCCTCCTCATCCTCCTCCTCCTCCTCCTCCTCCTCCTCCTCCTCCTCCTCCGTGCGTGTGATTGCTACGGTTTGAATGCGTGGTCATATCTCACGTCCCTCCATCTCCATGCAGCGCCGCGGGGCGCGCGAGGACCTTGACGGCCCCACCGTGAGCATGCTCTGTCAGCAGTTGATGGATCTGCAGAGGTTCGCCCCTCGCCTTTTCCTCCTCCTCCTCCTCCTCCTCCTCCCCCCTCCTCCTCCTCCCCCTCCTCCCCTCCTCCTCCTCCTCCTCCTCCTCCTCCTCCTCCTCCTCCTCCTCCTCCTCCTCCTGCTCTTCCTCCTCCTTCTCCTCCTCCTCCTCCTCCTCCCCCCCCTGCTCTTCCTCCTCCTCCTCCTCCTCCTCCTCCTGCTCCTCCCTCTCCTCCTCCTTCTCCTCTTCCTTCCCCTCCTCATTCGCCTCCTGTTTGGGGACGCCCTGCCCGAAAAAGGCCCTCCAGAGGCAGCGTGCGGCAGGTCCGTGCCGCGTCGACGCGCGCGCCGCGACTCCAAGGCGCGGGCGCTCGGGACTGGGCGCCGCAAGGGGCCTCGAGTCGGCCGGCATCGAAGGATCCCCGTGATCGGAAATCGAAGCATCACTCAAGCAGTGGCGAAGAGTCCTGGCTCGCCTATAGCCCTACCCAACAGTGTTCTAAGAACCTTGTGTGGTTCCCACGAAATGTTCTCAGAACAGTTCTGGTTGAGATTGTCTTGCTTTTGCCCCTCGGTCTTATGTTCTAAAAACATTGCCTTCGTTATTACAACATGTTCGGGTTCTAAGAACATCTCGATGTATGACTATAGGAATGCCGGGACGGTCGGTACCTGCTCAAATCACCGAGCGCGTTCCACTACTCGCAAAGTGCCTACTCGCAAACGTCCGAAAAACACATTGCTGCTTCGATGTAATGTCTAGTAGATCCCCCTGGCGGATCCAGGCCATTTGCGAGTAGTCACTTTGCGAGTAGTGGAACGCGCTCGTCGAAAGAAGAAAAAGGCTGCATAAAAATAAACTGTTCGGAGCTCCGCGCGGACTTCTTGGATCTGCTCTGGGCCCCCCTGGCGGCGCCTCCGGCGCCGCCCCTGGCGCGCTCCGCGCGCCAGGGAGGGGGTCCCGCGCGGATCCAAGAAATCCGCGCGGGATTCCGAGTTTGTATGTTTATGTCATGTTTCGTTCTCCTAGGAAAGCCGCGATCGTTCAAAGGCTGAACGATCGACGCGGCGCTAGAAACTCAGGCCGACGTCGCGACGACACGAGTTTGCCGTAGCTGGGCTTGTCTTCGCGATGGCAGTGACGGAAGAGCCCAGCCCGCGTCCGCCCCCTTGGATCCTTGTCTTCTTCGCCGTCCTCTCGGACCGCGCATCCCATTCGTAATTAGCCTCGCGCGATTGCATCTTGATGCGGCCATCGATGCGACGACGACGATAGCGACTGCTGCGATGACAGCGACAATGGTAACGATGGCGACGCTAATGGTGACAACGACAATATCGACAATGCTGTCGACGGCGGAGGCCATGTAATTGGCAGCAACAATGACAATGATGATAAGAAGTATGATGATGACGAACATCAACACCATCACCATCATGCTCATCATCACCATCATGATCATCATCAGCAGCATCAGCAGCAGCAACATCATCAGCAGCATCATCCTCATCATCATAATCCGCATCATCCTCCTCCTCTTCATCATCATCCTCAGCAGCAGCATCACGATCAACAACATCAGCAACAGCATAGTGATTGTGGTCAGTATGACGATGATCATCGTGGTGGGACGTTGCCTGAAGCACGGCGCCGGACGACCGCCCTTGTAAAAGGTTCTGGAGGCGCGAGTGTGGCAGTGAGTGTGGCAGTGAGTGATTAGCACGCTGTCATGAAGAGGAGGAGGAGGAGGAGCAGGAGGAGGATGAGGAGGATGAGGAGGGGGGGAGGAGGAGGAAGTTGAGGAGGAGGGGGAGGAGGAAGCGGAGGAGGAGGAGGAGGAGGAGGAGGAGGCCCTGACCAGAAGCGAGAGGCAAAGCGAGTGGGGTGGTGTGGAGAGCAGGGCACCGTCGCGGCCCGTCTGCCCCCCCCCTCCGCTCTCGCGCTGTGGAGGAACGTCGCGGTCTTGGCCGAGAAGGCGGGCCTGCCCCGGCCTCCTCGCGCCCCCTGTGCAGGGATCGACTAGACGTAAGAGTGACCTTTCGCCGGAGTGACCTTTGGCGCGGGCCCAATGGGTTCCCCAGGTCGCCAAACGCGATGCGATAGTAGCGTCTTCGGCGCTTGTGTTTGGTCCCCCCGCGGTCCCCAAAAAGCCGCGCACCAAAGGTCACCCTTACCCAGGGTCACTCTTGCGTGTAGTCGAAGGGAGCGTTTCGACTCCTCCGATTCGACTCGATTCGATTCCGAGGGCTTCCAATTCCGATTCGATGCGACTTCGGGTGCCGATTCGGGCTCCGATCCATCACTGGAGGACCATTACGTAGCCTGCCGATTTCTGCCGATTCGATGTTTCCCGACTCGGCTGCCGATTTCCGCCGACCCGATACATGTCGATCGCCGATCTGACTTCTCGATTCGATTCTGGGGGCGCCAGGGGCTTCGCGGGTTGCATGTCGCAGCGTTAGTTTCAAGTGCGGTCGCGTCTGCATGGTGGCGTGCTTGAGGCCGTCGTGGCATGCGAGGAACGGAGTGACGGGATTGTGTGTGATCTCATTCCGCCCAGTGTTCTTTCAGGAGTTAGGACATGATGACGACGACGACGACGACGACGACGACGACGACGACGACGGCGGCGTCAATCAATGACGATGTGCTCAGGCGAGATCCCGTGTTTGAGAACGAGCCTGCTCTCCGTCCGTGTAGCTGCTGGACAGGCAGAGCCTAACGATGACTCGAGCTACGAGGAAGCCTTTGGCACAACCGTCCGGCCCGCGACGCCAGCCAGTGCGACGAGGTGGCAAGGAGGACGGATGGAGGAAAAGATGGGATGAGGGCGGCGTCCTCCTTCCTCCTCCCTCCTCCCTCCTCCCCTCCTCCTCCCCTCCTCCTCCCCTCCTCCTCATCCTCCTCCGCAGATCTACGACAGTGCCCAGTCTGACGCTGGAAGTGATGCTGGTTCTGAGGCTGGTGATTTTCCCCCAGAGCGTGCTGAAGAATTGGCTGCGCTCAAGAAACGCTCTATGGAAGGTGCAATGGCTGATGCCGACCAGACCCGCATGGAGGACCTCATGTTCGAGAAAGCCCACACCCGCTCAGCGAAGCGCATGCGACGTGTGCAGCGTGAAGTTGGTGCCGGGTTCAAGGAGCTCTTCAAGGCTGCGGTCGCGGAGATGCCGCCGCCGGTTTAGTGAGTCCGGGCTTCGCCTACTCTTTTGTAACATAACTAGCTGGAGTGCTCTGGCTAAATCGTTCGTTTCGCAGTTGCATGGTAAGGCTGACGCCTTTATGTTCGCTGAACACCGCCAGCTCCCCGCCGATTTGAAGTCGGCTAAGCGTGATGTGGCCACCGCTGGGTGGCGCCCCCATTTCCTCCCTGCCTCGCCCTCTCCTGGCGGCGGGGCCCATGGTGGTGTAGGAGCGGCGGTGCACAAAGGCCTGTTTTTCAAACGTTTTCTGGCCCATGCTGGCCAAATTCGGGACGTAGGTGCTGGCAATGGCTGGATGTTTCTGGAGCTCCGAACCCAATCCTGTGTGATGGCCGTTGGCGTTGTATATATGATAGCTGACCTGGGGGTCTCGGGGGAAAACATCCTGAAGATGAAAGAAATCACAGCGTTCGTGAACACGCTTACTATTCCATGGTTTCTGATGGGGGACTACAACATAGGCCTGGATCACATGGAAGTATGTGGCTTTCTGAAGATGACTCGTGCGAAAGCTTTGCCTCCTGCAGGTGCTTCTTTCACGTGCAGCAATGGCGGTGGGTCTTTGATTGATTATGTGATTGCCAGTGATACTCTGGCTCCCTACTTGCGCGCGTCCAAGTACCAGGCCTCTCCCTTTAAGACTCACTGTTGCCTTGAGGTCTGCTTGCCGCATGCTGCCTTGTTGCAGGAGATGACCAAGCGTGTGCGGCCAAAAGTCTTGCCTGAGTATGAAGGACCTGTGCTACCCTGGGAATACCACTTTAATGCTGAACTGGCGGAGTGGACTCCACCACAAGCAGCACTACAGCCTCAGCTTCCTCATGTCCAGGCCCACCTTTCTCACGAGCTGACCTCGTCTTATCTCTTATGGTCTCGCACGAAGGAGAGGATGATGATGTCAGTCGTTGTTGGGGATGATGAGGATATGGAGGTTTATCGAGGCCGGGGTGATTTTGTGGATTTCCGACATGCTACTCTTACTGATCATGCCCGGCGAAGTGGGTGTTTTGCCCAGCCGATGCTAACTTACTGGTCCACTGTCTCCCAGAAATTGTATGAGATGCGCGTTGCTCTTAAGAAAGGTTATGGTCGTATGCTAATATGCATCTCTTCTCGGCTGGGAGCACTTGGACGTCGAGTCCTACAGCATTGCGAGTGTCTTCCTGCCGACCAGATTGCCCACCAGTGGCAGGCTCAGCTTTGTGATTTGAAATCGGTTGATCTGGACCGATGTCAGGAGATGATAGATCGTTGCACGGCAGTCCTCTCTAAGGCTTGGCAAGCTGCCCGCGCGTCAGCAGCTAAGGCGATTAAGGACTGGCTGTTGAAGGCGCTGCCCCGAGGTGCCTCCAAAGCTCACGCCTGGCTCAGGCGTGAAGAGCAGGAGGGGTTAGAGTTTTTTGTTGCCCCTGAGGGTATCCTCCAGCTCCCTCAGGAGATGATGGCTCACCGTGAAAAAATCTGGGGTGGGTTTTGGACTGCCAGCCCAATCCAGATTCGACAGTTGACTGGGGCTTTGGAAGAGTTGCGTGTGAGTGCGCTGGATTTGTTGCCCGAGCTTCCCGAAATTACCACCCGAGACCTCCACCTCGCTGCGAGGGTCTTCTCTGGAACCACGGCGGTTGGGGTGGACGGATGGAGGCCTCGGGATTTCCTGGACTTGGAGTCTGGCGCCGCCGATGCTCTCGTCGGGCTCTTGAATGATTGTGAGGCCAATATGATGTGGCCTGCCCAAACCCTCCTTGGTATTATTTGCTTGCTTCCCAAAAGCAAGGTTGATGAGCGCCCCGTTTGCAAATGCCCCACCCTTTACCGCATCTACTGTAAAGTTCGCGGGGATTTCTTGGCGGCCTGGAGTCAAGACCCTGTTGACTTCTGGGATGATGCCATCAAGGGCAGTTCCGCCCTTCAAGCTGCGCTTCGCCGAGAGCTTCCTCATGAGATTGCTACCTTCCAGGAAGTTTCCAGCGTTGCGATCCATTGGGATCTCAAAAAATTCTTTGATACGGTTATCCCTGCTAGGCTTGTGCGTTTCGCCACTGCTTTGAGGTTCCCACCGCGCCTCCTGTACCTGGGCCTCCTTGTGCACGTGGCCCCCAGGATGCTCGAGAGTAGCGGCTTTTGCTCCCAGATCATACCTGCTGGGATTGGCGTCCTCCCGGGATGTATGCAGTCTATGTCCTGGGTCAAGGTGTATCTATATCAGATATTGGATGATGTGCATAATCGGTACTTTTTTGGGAATCCCAGTGTGTCTACCAGGTCTTACGTTGACGACATATCCCAGGTGTGCCAGGGAACTGAAGACCAGGTCCGACGGCAGATTGTTGCCGCAGCAGTTCAGCTAGGCCATTCGGTTGATGCAGCCGAGCTTGTTTTGTCTAATAAGTCTGCGGTTGTCGCGAACCGACGGCCTCTTGCACTTTTTGTTGCTACTGATTTGAAAGCAGCAGGCCTCCCTGTCAGGGTTGAAGATGTTACACGTGATTTGGGTACTGCTACCACGGCAGGAAGGAGGAGGACTGCTGCCATTGTTCGTGCCAGGCGGCGGAAGGCCGCAGCTCGAGGTAAGAAAGTGCGCTACTTGACAACTCTGGTCAAGAAATCGTCTAAGCTCTACAAACCAGGCGTGCTCGCTGTAGGCACCTGGGGCCACAATGTTGCTGGCCTCTCTGGGGCCCAAGTTCAGAGTGCGCGCGGGCAGGCCGCTGTCTGCTCTGGCCACTGGCATGCTGGAGCTTGCTCTACCACCATCCTGAGTGTCTTCGGGGCCGAGAAGAATGATCCTATTTTTCGTTTGCGGCGTGAACAGCTATCTGGGTTTGTGACTCTTTGGAAATCCCTTACTGATAAGGAGAAGCTGCGTGTTTCCCAGGTCTGGCAGGCTCGGTTTCAGGAGTACATCAGTATCCCCAGGAACCAGGTTTGGGAACGGGTCCGTGGGCCGATCGCCGCTACTGTTGCTGTCTTGCTTGATCTGGGCCGGTGCCCATTGCATCCTGTGCATTGGCGAGATAACTTTGGCAACGACCTCTACACGGAGGCCCCGGATTTTGCTGTGACCTTGCGGCGCGCTATTAAGGCCACGTGCAGCGGCCTGGTCTGGAGCCAGGCTGCCAAGCATTACCATGGGTATGGAATCGCTTCGGGGGTTGATTTCATGGTCCTCAAACAGGAGATCAATCGATTGGGGAAAGACTTAGATTACGAGGGGCAGGCTTTGCTTTGGAACCTTTGTTCTGCTGGCTTCTGGACTGAACAGAGGTTACATGATGAAGGATACCACACGGTTTCTAAAGGTATTTGCCCGCGCTGCGGGGAGGTTTGTGAGACCCCCTTCCACAGGTTTTGGGACTGCAGGTGTAATGATTCCATCCCAGATCCAGTTGTGGAGCGTACAGCTCACCTCCGCGAGCAAGCTGCTCGTGACGTTGATTGCCCTGCCCTCTGGTGTCGGGGCCTTATGCCTCTAGACAGGACGGTTGGACATCTGCCGATCGCGATTGAAAGCGCCATTGGTTGGGGATCGTTCGATGAGTTGCCTGTCTGCCAAGGGGGCGTTTGGGGGATCGACGGATCGGGGGGGGAGCACGCTAAGGATGAGAGACTAAGGCGTTGTGGGTGGGCCTGCGTTAGACTAGGTACCACCCTGGACAACATCGATGGGGGCATCGCGGGGACCCTGGGAGGTGAACAGTCTTGCCCGCGTGCTGAACTTCTCGCGTTGATTTATGTGTGTCAGTATACGTATGGGCGTATCTTGGTGTTCAGTGATTATTTTCCTGTTGTGCGAGCTTTCCGGCGTCCACGGGCCTTGCTGGCCAAGTCTGAGATGCTGGACCTCTGGGTTCGCCTTTGGGAAGTCCTTGACGCCCGAGAAGGTGATATCGACCTCCGCTGGACCAAGAGCCACCCCACAGGCCCCCAGGTCAGCGCCCTCTGTCTCACGTCGATTGAACGGCTTTTGAATGGAGCCGCCGATGCCTGTGCTGGGGAGATGGCCCGTCGAGCGGCTGTCCCCCAGGAAACGGCGGCCATCACGCTTGAGCAGGATATATTAAATAGGGATATCATTCGGAGGCTTTTAGCCATCCAGCGTGAAGTTGTGGTGCAATACCCGCGAGAGCGCACTGAGTACGCGCGTGTTGGGCATGAGCATGTGCGCACGCGCGCTGGCGCGAGCAGTGCACAGATCAGACGTGGGCGTCTCGAAGAGCAGGGCCATTCGCCTGTTGAGCTAAAGACTCTGTTCAAGTGTAGTCTCTGTTCTGCGCGTTTCAGCAAGAAGGGGCCACTGTCTGTCTTCTGGCCTGGCCCCTGCAGCGCTGGGCGGCTTGCCCAGTACCGCGTGCCTCGTGAGGATGAGGAGCCTGGTTTTGTGGGCCCTGGGGTCGCTGCTTTTGGGCCCGCTGCGCATCCCATGGCCATCCACTGCCACGAGACCCATTCCTTATCTGAGTTGAGTGGCGTTCTGTTTTGCACTGTATGTGGCAGTTTTGCGGTCACCAGTGCCCGCAACTTGAAAAGCGAGTGCAGGCCTCCGACCAAGAAGGGTTTGGAGGCACTGGGCCGACTGGAGAGGGGGCTCCCGCCAAAGTCGGGAATGGCCTTCCCTCGGTGATTGTGGTGGGGCGGCCAGGCCAGCACCTGGGCACCGCGCGTCCGCCATAGCGCCATAGCTCGCTCCTCCCTCGCAAATGGCTTGCGCGGGTGGGGCGGCCTCCTGTGAAGCCGGGGGGGTTCTAAGAAGGTACCGGCCTCATTTGAAGGGCCCAGGGGGTTCTAAGAAGGCACCGGCCTCATTTGAACGGCCTCCTTAGGAGGCCTTTCAGAAGCTTGGAGGGCTTCTAAATGGCCTTCTAAGGAGCCCAGGGGCTTCTAAGGAGGCCATTGAGAAGCCTGGAGGGCTTCTACGGATGCCTTTTAGAAGCCGGGAGGCCTTCTGAGAAGGTTCCCCTCTGCCTTCTTAGAAAGCCGCTTCCCTCGCCCCACCCCCTTGTGCGCGCCGTCAAAACGAGGAGAAGGGAGGAGACGGAGGAAGCGGAGCGGGGTGAGGAAGAGGGGGAGAAGCAGTGGAAAGGAAGAGTGGGATGGAAGCCTCAGATTTGGGCAGCTTTGTCCTCCTCGGGTCAGGGCACGGCGGTCTCCCAACAGCTTCCGGCATCGAGCGTCGGCCGTCACTTCGGGCACGAGCTCAAACGACGACGGTGCCAGTTGGCCACGAGCCATGTGGATCAGAGGTCGACCGAGGTATGAGATCGAGGTCGATTCGGGGAGGGTGCCCTGATGTTCTTCGTGTCTGTTGGATGTTTTTGTGCCCCCTGGGGGAGGGTGCCCTCGAATGTGTTTCAGCTTGGCCAACTTAGGGCCTCGTGTTCGTGAAGAAGGTTCTTCTGTCCTAGGTCCGGGCGTAATCTCCGAACCCGAACTCGGCGCGTCTTCCCACGTTTCGCCCGCCCCCCCTCTTCTGGATCCTCCTCAGCACCCCCATGTGCCCTTCTCCTCGCCTCCTCCCGCCCCCCTCCCGATGCCTCCGTCGTCGTCGTCGTCGTCGTCGTCGTCGTCGTCGTCGTCGTCGTCGTCGTCGTCGTCGTCGTCGTCGTCGTCTCGCTGACCTCTGACAGGTGGACCTGCTGAGCCAGCCTGCAGTCCAGGTTCATTCCTCGATGATGGTGACCGGGGAGCCCGGCGCGGTTAGAAGAAGAAGAGTCAGGAGGAAAAGAAACACAAACACTAATTCACGAGGCTTGTCGCACAAATGAACAGAAGATATTGGAATTGGAGGGGGAAGGGGTCATCCAGGAAATGGACAAATATCGGGGATCCTGGAATTCGTATCGAACACGCCTACGGCGAATCACCGCCGCCCCCTGCCTTTCCTGAAGCGCCTATGTGGCCGAACGTTGTGGCCAGAGGCCTGCCAAGCTATCGGACCATGCGTTCCCCGAATCGGTTTGGAAAGCGTTCGGGCAACACGTGGGGGAGGAAGAGGAAGAGGAGGAAAAGGAGAAGGGGGAGGATGCCTCTTCGGAGCCTCTTGAGGCACTCTTGGGCTCGATTAGGCCATCTTGGGACCGTCTTGGAGGCCATGTTGGTGTTATCTTGGGCTCTCTTGGGGCCTCTTGAGGGCCTCTTGGGGCCTTTTGGGGGCTTCTCGGGGGCCTCTTTGGCCGTCTTAAGGCGTTCCTGGCCCGTCTGACGCCGTCGGGAGCCGTCTTGGGGGCCTCTCTGAACCGGCTCGGGACCCTCCTGGGGCGCTTCGGGGCCGTCTTGGAGGCCATCTTGGGCGTCATGGAGGCCTCTTGGCCCATCCGGGGGCCCTCTTGGGGCCGTCTCGGGTGCCTCTTGGGCCGTCATGGGTCCATCTTGGAGGCCTCGTGGGCGATCTTGGGGCGATCCAGCGGCCCTCTTGGGCCGTCTTCAGCCGTCGGAATGCCGAGAAGAAGAAAATGCCAACATCGTTCAAAAACCTAACGATAATCAATGATTGTTGCCTCTTCGGGCCCTCCTGGAGGACCTCTTGGAGGACCTCTTGGAGGCCTCTTGGGTCGTGTTGGGCCGTCTTGGAGGCTTCTCGGGCGACCTTGGAGGTATCTTGGATTCTCTTGGGCCGCCTTGGAGGCCGTCTTGGACCATTTTGGGCGGACTTGGAGGCCATCTTGGACCATCTTGGAGGCCATCTTGTGCCAACGTGGCCATCTTGGAGGCCATCTTGAGCCGTCTTGGAGGATGTTTGGGGGGATTGAGGTCCTGGGCAATCTTTTCGGGTGGCCAGCGGGACGGGCCGAAGCCCCAGGGGGGGAGTTCTTTGGGAAAAGAACCAAAACCAAAACCGAAAGGGTTCAGCACGCCAGGCACTCCTGTGATGAATCAACAGGGGGCGGCGGATGACGGGAAAGCGCGCGTAGCGTGCGATCCGTTTGCCGGAAGGAATTAATTAGGGGGAGTGTGAGGGGGTGGCATCTTGGGCCCCAGGATCTAATAGCCCGCCTTTTTTCCTGTTAACGGAGCCCTTAACAGGGAAAATCTGATGAATTACTCCGACGGTAGGACCCCACATGAGAATCTGTTTAGATTACCCTTTGCCCTTTCTTCCTCCCCCTGGCGGACACCCTCTCCTCTCGCCCCCTGCACTGCCCTTTCCTCTCGCCCCCTGCATTTCTCTTCCTCCTCCTCTTTCTCCTCCTCCTCCTCCTCCTCCTCCTCCCCCTCCTCCTCCTCCTCCTCCTCCTCCTCCTCCCTCCCTCCTCCCTCCTCCTCCTCCTCCTCCTCCTCCTCCTCCTCCTCCTCCTCCTCCTCCTCCTCCTCCTCTCCTCCTCCTCCTCCTCCTCCTCCTCCTCTCTCGCGCCACCTCCTCCTCGTCGTCGGCCTCCCCCATGCCCCTTCCCTCCTCATCCCCCTGCCTTTTCTCCATGTGCACCTCCCCTTCCCCCTCGTCGGGGCAAGCAAATCCATTTTCCTCAGCGCCGTCGCCGCCTCGGCCAGCGCGCGCGCGTCTGCCGACGGCTAGATCGCGAAGCCGTCGGGACAAACCTTTGGGCTGGGCCGTTGAGACAACCTCGCAGGCCGCTGGGGCGTGGGAGCTAGCCGTTGGGACAACCCCGCGGGCCTCCAGGCGCGCGCCGCGGCGCTCAGGCGGGAGGCAGCATGAAACCAAGCTCTGCCGCGAGCTGCTCCGCCTCAGCCCTGGAGTCCACCGCTTTCTAGTCGAATTCCTCGAGCGCCTTCCGCAGGGACGCCGGCGGCCCGCGCTCCAGGAACTCTCGCGCGGGCGGCCGCAGGATGAGCATGTTCCGCATGCACGTGGCGCGGGAGAACATGACGCAGAGGTGCAGCCACCACATATCGTCCGACATGCCCGTGCGGCCAGCGTCCTCATCCCTGGCGCAGTCGATGGTGACGCCCTTGCGCAGCGTCTGGCCCTGCGACAGCGTGGAGGTCAGGTAGGACGCGTGCGTCAGTGTGAATCCCGAGCGGCGCACAGTGTGCGCCCCCGAGCTTTGCCACGTGAGCACCTGCTCGCTGGGCCTGAACATGAGCAAGCTCCTCGCCCGCGCTTCGGCCTCGCCGTCGTCGGCAGCGCCATCGGCGCCCTGCTGCAGCACCTCGGCGACCTCCTTGTAGGTCGGGGACTCCCGGAAGCCGTGGACCTGCAGCCAGATTCCCTGCGGTAGGTAGCGGGGGCGGAAGAGCTGGCCCGGCGCGCACTCCTCGTAGTCCCGCTCGTCGTCTGCGTGAAACTCGAAGGACACGATGGTGGCCCGTTGCTCCTGCACGAGCCCCAACTTTTTCTTCAGCTCCTCCTGCACGGCCGTGAACCAGACCTCCATGCCGACGTGTGCCGGTAAGACGCCGTGGATGTCCCCCGTCTTGTGCATGATCGGGACGTTCAGGAGGCGCCGGCCTGCGTCTGGGTCGCCTTGAATCGTGCCGCACTCGTCTACGGCCTGCAGGAAGACGGGGGGGACGCCGAGGCGCCGCGCGTCGCGACGAGCGCGCGTGTTGATCCACCTCGCCAGCGTCTCCCAGTAGATGCCCATGCCGTAGCCGAGCCGGAAATTCTCGTGCTGGTGCCGTGGGTCCAGGACGCCGTGGTTGTCAGAGGCCAACGTCTTCTTCCAGGCTGCCAGGCAGACCAGACCTCTGGTGGGAAGCGCTTGCCCTCGCGCATGCAGCCCAAGAACGCGATCAGAGGGTCCCCCGGCTCGAAGCGCTTCGTGCCCTTCAGCTCGAAGACGCAGGGGATCTGAGAGAATACCCTGATGGCGTGCTGGATCTCCACCGTCGGCGGCTCCGCGTACTTGTACGACCCGTCTCCCAGGAGCTCGTTCACGTCCGTCAGGAGCCCGATGCTGCCGGTGGGCTTCAGCTGCAGGAAATCCCCGAGGTGCAACACGATGGGGACGCGGCCGAAGTGGTGGTGCGGCCTCTTGTAGGTGGACTCCTGCGCGTCGTGCGTGTCACTGCGCCTTTGGCAGGCGCGAAGGTCCAGCGCGTTGTACAGAGCAGCTGCCACCATGCTTACCTCCTCGATGACCAGGACGCGGACGTGCTCCCACAACCACTGCAACCTCTTCTGCATGCCCCCCGGTCTCATCTTCGCGTTGATGTACTTCTGGACTCGCAGGGCACAGGCGTTGTGCAGCGTTCTGGCTTTCACCATCTCCGTGGAGATGTTCTTCGCCTGCGCGTTCGAGAAGGCCACGACCATCATGGCGCCCTTTTCCTGCGCCCACGAGGGCCGCAAATACTCCACCACTGGGAAGACGATCTTCTGAACCACGCGCGTCTTGCCCGAGCCGCCCTGGCCCACCGGTCGCCGCCGATCGGCAGCCCGGTCGCCGAGCAAGAACAGGCAACCGCTCCTTTCGAAGAGACCGTCCCCGGGGAGGAGAGGGGCCCAGACCTCTGACGTCTTGACACTCACCCTGGTTGCAGGGGGGAGAACGAGCAGGAAACATATATATATATATATATAGGTACTCATGGGGGTGACTGCAATGGGGATGCGATGGGAGGGGGGATCGCGAATGCATTCGCTCGGCACGCTCGCTCCGGTCGCACATCGCTTGAAGGCGTACGCTTTCCTGAAACCAGCGATCGGTCTCCGAATCCTCGAACCGTTCGGCGCGAGTGCTTCCTCAAGCGGCTGGGGCGCGAGGGCCACTGTAACCTCGGAAGTTCCGCCATACTAGGAAAGAAGATGTCGGGCCGAAGATGTGGCCAGGGAAGGCTCCGGTGGCGTGACTTACAGCTCGATTCTCCTTTCTGAAACACGAATAGATTCTACCCCCCCCCCGGACTTATCGGGACCCCCGCGCGTGCTGTAAATTACATATGATTCTGACCACATGTCCATCCTAAATATGAATTCATACTATCCCAGCCCCCCTGCGGTTCCCTTTTAAAAAACACTATGCGGTGACATTTGTTGCTCTAACATAACACTTTTTCGCGAATCCCTTGCAAAAAATTCGACGAAGTGCACACGCGCGCGTCGTCGCGCGCGCATGCCGGAATCCCTCAAAAACCTGCGGTGCCGGAAGGATTTCGCAATCGAGTTTCCAAAAAACATTCAAAAACACATGGTTTCGCAACACTGATTTGTTAAAAAAACTTCCGCGCGAGGTCTTGCGAAATCTTAAGAAAACCGTAGTTTTCCAAGATTTTCACAAAATGCTACCAAACGGGCTTCGCGCGCGCGCATGTCGAAATCTGTCGAACGCCCTTGCGCGTGTGCCGTCGCGAGAATCCTCTGCAAAAAATGAGACGAAGTGCAGACGCGCGCGTCGTCGCGGGCGTATGCCGAAATCCTTCAAAAACCATCGGTTTCGGAAGGATTTCAAAATCGTGCGTCCAAAAAACCTACAAGAACCCAAGGTTTCGCAACACGGATTTTCAACAAAAGCGTGCGCGCGCGCTCTTGCGTCGTCGTCGTTCGTCGTCGTCCTCCCTCCTCCCTCGTCGTCGTCGTCGTCGTCGTCGTCGCGTCGTCGTCTTCTGTCTTTCCTCGTCGTCGTTGTCGTCGTCTTGGCGTCGTCGTCGTTTCCGTCGTCGTTGTCGCCGTGGTCGTCCTTCCTCCCTCGTTGTCTTCGTCGGCGTCTCGTCGTTGTCCCTCCTATTTCGTCGCCGTCGTCGTCGTCGTCGTCGTCGTGGTCTTCACTCCTCCCTCGTCGTTAAC